GGCTGCTCCTGGGGGCGGGGCCGGGCTGCTCCTGGGGGCGGGGCGCAGGAAGGGCTGGGGAGGGTTGCGGTTGGTAGAGGCTGAAAGGCCGTGGCGGGGAGGCGGGGCCCAAGGCCGGTGTGGCGCTGCTGTGGGCGGGAGGAGAAGCGGGGCGCCGGCCCGCAGGCTCCACGCTGCTGGAAGCGTCCCTGCGCGCCCCCAGCCCCGCACCCCCTTCCAGAGGACCGGACCCCCCTTGCTCCCCTCCGAGCTGCCCTCGGGACAGGCGGCCTCTGCCCCGGTGCTGGCCGCGTCCCTAGTTAGTGCCGTAACTGGCTCGGCTGCCTGGGGGTGACGCGTGGCCGTGTCCCCAGAGAGTCACACGAGCGTCTCCAGGAGGAAAAGCTCTCTGGACATCAGGGGTGTCGGCTCCCGGACCAACGAAGGTGAGTGGGGGTGCGCCCCAGGGAGGGGGGGAGGGGGCCCGGCCGACCCCTGACCTCCAGCCTTGCCCTCAGCGTCCAGCCAGCGGCGACACTCCTCCCTGGCCCGGATCCACTCCATGACCATAGAGGCGCCCATCACCAAGGTGACGCGGGCGGGCGGCCCTGGCCCACCGTCGAGCAGCGCGGGGCGGACAGCGGGGCGGCCCCGCAGGGACCCCCATGCTCCCCTCCCCACACAGGTCATCAACCTCATCAACGCAGCCCAGGAGAGAAGCCCCGTGCCCGTGACGGAGGCCCTGGACCGCGTGCTGGAGATCCTGAGGACCACCGAGCTGTACTCGCCGCAGTTCCGCGCCAAGGACGATGACCCGCACGCCGCGGACCTGGTCGGGGGCCTGCTGTCTGTAAGCTCCGCCTGGCCCGGCGGACTTCTGAGAGCCGGGAAGGGGCTGTTGTAGACAGCCAGAACCCGGTCTCCAGTGCTCCTGTGGTTATGCTTGGTTGTATTTACACACTTAGAAAGGCTGCAGCGTGGCACTGCGCGGCAGGTGCAGGGGTCATAAGCACGAGGCCCGCCTGCCTCAAAAGATTCCAAACTGGAAGTGGCACTGTGGCTCAAGCAGTAGAGCGCTAGCCTTGAGCTGAAGAGCGCAGGGACAGCGCCCAGGCCCGGAGTTCAAGCCCCACGACCAACAGGAAAAAAAAAGGGAGAAGCTGGTTGCAGTCACGCCAGCAAGAGTCAATCCCGACGCAGAGATCTGGAGGACTGGTTCAAGGCCAGCCCAGAGAAAAGGTGCCATCAGTGAGACCCCTTCTCAACCAATGTGAGCTGGGCATCACGGCGGATAGGACTGGCAGATAGGACTGCAGTCCAGCCCAGCCCTAGTGAACACACGAGTTGAAAATCCTTGAGGTGAAGGGCTGGGGGTGTAGCCCAGGTGGTAGAACATCTGCCTAGCTAGCATAAAACCCTGAGTTCAAACCTCAGTCTTAAAAACAAACAAATCTGAAGCAGGAAAAAAATCCATAGTGAATGGCTGCATACAGAGCTGGGTGTGGCTGGGTGGTGGAGGCCTGGGAAGAAGGGGTCACTTAAGAGGTGGGAAGGGAGGGGAAGCTGGGTCAGGGACTGAGGACAAGGCAGGAGCGTGGGCTGGGCTGCCCGCTGTCCCTGTCCCAGCCCAACCTCAGGCCGAGCTCCCTGGCAAGTGTCTGGGTTCTGGGGTGACCATGAGGTGGGCGCAGGTGGACAGCAGAGGAGAGCTGTGACGTATCTCCTCTCCCCCCCCCTTCTGTCAGGACAGCCTGCGAAGATTACCAGGGAATAACTACATTCTTGGAACAAAAAGTAAGTCTTATTTTCAGCTCTCTTGGCTTCCGTATGACGAGGCCGAGGCTCGCTCTTGCTCTTTACTGAGCAGTGCCTGGCTACAGGAAGTCCACCCTGCAGGCTGGCTGGAGCCTAACCTCCCCCCCCCCCCCAGTCCTTCACCAGAGCCCCTCGGCGGCTGCCTCCACCGCCGCCCTGCAAGACCTCCCATCACGGATCGCGCAGGCCGTGGAAGGTGAAGAGCACTGGGACTTCGACATCTTCCAACTGGAGGCCGTCACGTACAATCGGTGAGCCTGGGAGGTGGCCAGCCTAGGAGGGAGTGGTCCAGACACAGGGGGGCCGCTCCTAGGAAGGCCCGGCCGGCCAGCCACCTCCTTGCAACCACACTGTGGGGGTCACAGGTGGCTAGGGGGGTCCCGGGCAGCATTCAGGACAGGACACTGCCGAGGACAGAGCCTCAGGTTTAATGGGAAGGGGATTATCTGAGGTCTCTCCCCTGGCTCACGGCCATGCCACGCTTCCATCTTCATCTAGGCCGCTGACTTACCTTGCTCTCAAAACCTACGCTCGCTTCAGAATCTGCGACTTCCTGAACTGCCCGGAGGCCACCCTGAGAGCCTGGCTAGAGGTCATTGAGGCCAACTACCACGCGGACAACCCCTACCACAACTCCACGCATGCAGCCGACGTGCTGCAGGCCACGGCCTACTTCCTCTCCAGGGAGAGGGTGAAGGTGGGGGGGGAGGACACGTGGGGGGGGGGTGTTCTGTGGAGATCAGGCCCCGCCCACAGGGCTGCAGAGAAGGGCTTCTCCTTCAGCACGGGCCCTGGGGCCCTGGGGCCCTGAGGCTGCAGGGGACACGGAGGCTGCAGGGGACAGCCCCAGGTCTCTCCTGGGGGCAGCACTTCCCAGAAGCCCTTTCTCATCTCTCAGAGACTGACTTCAGTGGCCACGCATTTGCTTGGGGAGAAGGGAGGGCAAGTGTGTGTGTGTGGGGGGGGGACTGCTGCCCTGGTGGTTGGGGTGTTCTACGAGGACCCGCATCCGGCTCACTTCCTAGCCACAGCTGCCCCAGAGCCGAGGGGCCAGGAGAGGCCCCCAGAGCAGACAGAAACAGGTCCCCGCTGGGCGCCCGTGGCGCAGGCCGGTCCCCCAGCTTCTCCGCAGGCTGTGGCTCTCTGGCTGGGGCAGCCTAGGCAGACGAGCTGCTGAGACTGAATGCTGGACTGGAGGCTCAAGTGGTAGTGTCAGCCCTGAGCACAAAGCCTGGGGTTTAAAGCCGCATACACTGCACGCACACACGGTCACTTCTCACTGATCGACCTAAGCGTAGATGCGAGGATGTCTGGCCATGTGGAGGGGCGGGCAGGTGGACGGGCGGGGCACTGGCTTTGCGCCCGTGCTGCTTCACAGTGCTCTGTCTGCAGGAGGCTCTGGACCCCGTGGATGAGGTGGCTGCGCTCATCGCAGCCACCATCCACGATGTGGACCACCCCGGGAGAACCAATGCGTTCCTGTGCAACTCTGGGAGCGAGCTGGCCATCCTGTACAATGACATCGCCGTGCTGGAGAGCCACCACGCCGCCCTGGCCTTCCAGCTCACCGTGGGCAGCGACAAGCACAACATCTTCAAAAACATGGAGAGGTGAGTGCCAGGCCTTCTTCGCCCCTCGGGGGGAGAAGCCAGCAGGCCCTCCACCCCCAACCACAGGCTGTCCCGGCCCTCAGCAGCCTCTCTGGTCTGCACAGGAATGAGTACCGCGTGTTGCGCCAGGGCATCGTGGACATGGTCCTTGCCACAGAGATGACAAAGCACTTTGAACACGTCAATAGATTTGTCACCAGTGTCACCAAGCCCTTGGCATCACTGGAGAATGAGGTGAGGGGGCTGGCGGTGCGAAGGTCCCAGCCAGGCCACCTGGCTGCTGTCAGCAAGAACCTTCCAGGGAGAAGGGGCAGCCAAGGGAGGGCCCACCTTGGTTACTCAGAATCCCACCCAACCATGGCGTAGGAGACGGGTAAGGACCAGGAAGCTGTAAGCTCCATGCTCAGGATGCCGGAGAACCGCATGCTCATCAAGCGCATGATGATCAAGTGCGCGGACGTGTCCAACCCCTGCCGTGCCCTGGAGCTGTGCATCGAGTGGGCCGCGCGCATCTCCGAAGAGTACTTCTCCCAGGTGCGTGCACGGTGCGCCAGGCAGCCGCAGCCCTGCAGGGGACAAGCCTGGGTCTTGGGTTTCTCCCCCAGCACTTGGTGAGGGCTGCAGCATGCCGCGAAGCAGAACCCAAAATGAGGGAGAAACAAATCACTCGTGTTTTCAGAACACCGAGATCTCACTTCAATTAGCCATCAGAAGAAAATACCAACCCAGAGTTCTCTAGCCAATGCAGAGACCCTTACCTAGGTGCTGGCAGCTCACCCCTTCGATCCCAGCTACTACTGAGAATCGGAAATGGCACTATAGCCCAAAGCTGTAGAGCCAGCAGCCTTGAGAAAAAGCTCAGTGCCCAGGCCCTGAGTTTGAGGCCCCTAACAGAAACAAAACAAAAATCTGTAAGTAGAGCTGTGGCTCAAGTAGTAGAGTGCTGGCCTTGAGCACAAAAGCTCAGGACAGTCCCCAAGCTGAGTTCAAGCTGCAGAACTGGCGCACACATGTGTGCACACACACGCACGTGTACACACACACACACCCTGAGGAAGTGGAGCCGGCCAGATACCTTCCCAAGCAGTAGCATTCACTTCCTGTCATTCCGAGAAGCACCAAGCCGTGTGATCTCGGGCACACGAGTCTTTACCCAGAGTGGATGGTGAGTAACTAGGGCTTTCTTCGCTCTACGTTTTCTCTAGTGCACATGGCATATGCGGTCCTTGTGGCCCGGCCCGGGGCGGCAGCGCGGTGGTGGCAGGGAAGGGTCTGCTTTCCAGTGTCAGCACATACTGACCAACCCTCACACTCGAGTCACAGCAGTTCTAAGCTAAAGGACTCCGTGTGGCGGAATCCCAGAACACATAAGGACAGGAACAGAAGCAGGGGGAGAAATACAGGAGGCACACCTGTACATCCAATTCCTTGAAGGGTGGACACTCCAGTCATCAGAATAGAACAGCCCACGGCAGTGGTACGTGTATATAATCCCAGCACTCAAAAAGCAGATCTCAAGTTCTAAGCCAGCCTGGGCTCCATAGGGAGTCTCTCAAAAGCTACAGAGCAAATGTTCAACCAACACACAGCCTAACTATAACTAGCACACTGCCCAACCAAGCCTCCTTTTACATACAAAGGGCAGTTAGGCCTGGGTAAGGTACTTTCCACTAGATTAGACATTCCACTAAAGCAGATACTGCACTCACATCTATGTATGCACGCACCCCCCCCCCCCACAGCTCAGTCACCCTGCACACAGAAAAAAACTGGCTATTTCTCTCCCATAGTTTTGCTTTTTGAGGCAAGTCTTTTTTTGGTCAGTCGTGGGGCCTGAACTCTGGGCCTGGGCGCTGTCCCTCAGCTCTTCAGCTCAAGGCGAGCGCTCTACCACTTGAGCCACAGTGCCACTTCCGGCATTTTTTCTTTTTTTTTTGCTTATGTGGTGCTGAGGAATCGAACCCAGGGCCTCAGGCATGCAAGGCAAGCGCTCTACCCCTGAGCCGCCTTCCCAGCCCTCCTATGGTTTTCTGAGTTAGGAAGTGTCTCCTCCCTTTCACGTTTGTGCACGTGTTGGGAGGGGGGAATAGACCAGGAGCTGTGGTCACGCCAGCACCCGTGATGGGTGTGCAGCGTGGGCCGGGTTGGGGCATTCTCGGCCGTGTGGAGTGGGCTCACCGCCCCGCCCTGCAGACAGATGAGGAGAAGCGGCGGCACCTGCCGGTGGTCATGCCCGCCTTCGACCGCAGCACCTGCAGCATCCCCAAGTCCCAGATCTCCTTCATCGACTACTTCATCACCGAGATGTTCGACGCTTGGGATGGTAAGAGCGGCGAGTAACGGGCGAGGCAGCGGCACCACGGCCCCCGCACCGCTGCTAGGGGGCCCCCTCCCTCAGCCCAGAGAAGGAGGGAGGCCCCCTCCCTCAGCCCGCCTTGCCTTCCAGCCTTCGTGGACCTGCCTAACCTCATGCAGCACCTGGACGACAACTTCAAGTACTGGAAGGGACTGGACGAGATGAAGCTGCGGAGCCTGCGGCCACCCACAGCCCCCGGGGACTCCTGAGCCTCCCCGCAGCCCCTCCCCCAGGCCCCCACCCACGCCGTGGGGGGCCTCCGCAGCCCGCGGCCCTGCCCAGGCTCTACATGGGTTCAGGAAGGCACCTCTTCCCAAACAAGCAGCACACATCCAAACTGAACATTAATATCACTTATGAAAGTTAATTTATTACTAGTATTTCTATGAATCTAAAAATAACTTTAAACCCAGTGTCAGCTGCCATGACCAAGCCACCAGACTGCGACCTTCAAACGCGTGCTGCACGGGCCTGGGTAGGAAGCCCAGGAGGCGGGGTTTTGGCTGGTCTTGTTCTAGGGCCAACCAAGCATCAGGACCCTGCAATTTCCTGCTTTAATTGAACTTCAAAGCCTGCCTTATTTTATAAACGCAAGGAGCAAACTTAATGGAGTGACGGCTCGTAGCCACGTTTCCATCTGTGTGATCTGATTGCAGATGTTACAGAAGTTCTGTATTATCACAATTTGTTTTTATTTTAAACTTGTATTTTTCTAGATAAAAATAAAACTTAAATAACTTTTGCCATTTCTCTAGAGTTCGGTGTCATGATACCAACAGTATTAACCTTTTAACCTTTATCCTACAGAACAGATAACCAGATAAACCTTCATCTGCTTTGGATTCAACCAAGGCCTTGCAGGTCTCCCAGGGATGTGACCTGCCTGAGGTGTCTGTGGATGGGAAGGTGGAAAGCCCCCCCAGCCCTCGCCGGCTGCCAGGAAAGAAACACAGCCCAAGAGCGCGGCCAGGGCAAGGCTCAGGGGCTGCTGTCCCCAGTCTGGGTGCAGACAGCAAACCAGGCAAGGACAGAGCACAGGCCTCCTGCCCTCCTCCACTGGGAGCCAAAGCCTTGAGCTGCACCTGCACGTGTGTGAGGTCAGGACGCGGAGCCGCTCTGCTCCTTCCTCAGCTGCTGCGTTGGCTCAAGAGTCAGGAAGAGCCTGAGCAAATGGAACCCTCCTGCTGCGAGAGGCAACGGGCACCAGTGGTTCACACGCCATCCTAGCTACTCTGGAGCTGAGATCAGAGGATAGAAGTTCAAAGCCAGCCCAGGCAGGAAAGTGTGAGATGCTTATCACAGATAAACCACCAGAAAACCAGAAGTGGTGCTGTGGTTCTAGTGGTAGAGCGCTCACCTTGAGCTGAAGAGGGACCACGCCAGACCCAGAGTTCAAGCCCCACAACTGACAAAAATTTTAAAAACCGCCAACAAAACCCTCCTGAGTCCATGCTCCTGCCTGTCTGGACAGAAGCACCAGGCAGGTGAGGCGCCACGCTGGGCCACACTCCCAAAAACAGCCAATCAGGAGGCTGAGACCTGGAGGACAGCCCAGGAAGCAAAGTCCACAAGATTCCATCTCCACAAAAACAAAGCAGCTGCAAAAGCAGAACTGGAGGCAAGTCTTTGCTAAGAGCACCCGTGAGGTGCACGGGACTTCCAGTTCCCACCTCAGCACTACTAATGGTAATTTACACACATGGTGAAGTTCAACCACACTCCTCAGAACTCAAGACAGCTCAAAACTCGTCTGGCCACAATCCCAGGGGGGGCCACTGTCCGCAGGTGGAGTGGAGCCCCCAGGAGGAAAACTCTTTCCAAGTGATTTTTACCAGAAGCACCAACAAGTCTTCCATAAAACTGGCTGCCGTCCTAGCTACCTAGAAAGCGGAGATCTGAGGATGGCAGTTCAAAGCCAACCCAGGCAGGTAAGGCCATGAGACTCTTACCTCCCGCTAACAAGCAAAAAGCCAGCTATGGCTCAAGTGGCAGTGCGCTCGCTTTGAGTGAAAGAAACAAGTAATAACATCCCTGAGTTCAAGCCCCAATACAGGCAAAAAGAAAAACTGAAAATTAAAAATAGTACTTTTAACATGGTGTGTTCTATTAGCAGAATCACCAACGTTAAGGAGCAGAAAAATCTCAGTCAGGTATAAAACTTGTTAGTCTTCCCAATTACTGTAAGACACAGCAAATTTAGCTTGGAGTTGCCTAGCAGCCAAAATGAAAACAAAAAGCCCGATCCAATGATAATGGCTACACTAGCTGACTGCCCAGAAATCTAGACAACGTGAGGAAATTTACCTGTGATTTCTTACTCAACTCGTATCGCAGGAGACGGCAAGACTCTCAGGGAGGGCTGAAGCACCTGTCCCTCCACCCGCCCCCCCAGCCGTGGGTCCACAGCCAGAAGCCGTCAGTCAAAGACCAGCCTTTCCGCAAGGGCAGTACTCAGAAAAGAAAAATCCCAAACCAAAAGCATCCCCTAGCTTTTCAGGCTTGCCGCTCTCAGCCCGGAGCTCACTGTCCTCTGCACTGTTCTACTGTAGGCTTGCTTCACTGTCATTCAACACTCGCATTCCTACAGACATAATTGAGTTGTTCTGTGCATAAGCCTAGTTTTGTTCGCAGTGAAATATTGCATGAGCAAAGCTATTCACCCTAGCATGAACCTGAGCACCCATCAAATACAGCCGCTGTCCCCACAAGAACACCTGCAGCGGCTTGCTGTGGGGTCAGAGCTCAGACCCTAGACTCTCATCTCTGATTGGCCTCGGGAGAAGCCCAGGCGGTGCTGTGGCTGAGCACTAGCCTGGCGCAAAGCAGCTCAGGGACAGCACCCAAGCTGAGTCCAAGGCCCAGGGCTGGTGAAAGTGAAAAACACCACCCCGTCCTGCCCAGAAACCAACCTTTCACTGTTGTAGGCTGTGAAACTGTCCAAATAACCTGTATCCGCTCCGCACACATTTCCAGGAGCGTGCGCGGCGGCTGAGCAGGTGCTGCTGCTTTTCCGACTGCATTAGCGCGTCCACCCAGCCTGCAGGCCTGGGGCAGCGTGGAGGGCCCACGGGTTTGCCCAAAGCCCAGCACTGCCCCTCCACCCCACACGCCAACACAGCATTATTCTAGAAGATGCTAAATTGGACCTGCGGAACAAACACCAAACTAGTACCTTCCACAAGTCTGTGTTCCTCATGAAAGGCAGGAACGCGACGCAGGGACTCAGTGAACAGGGCAGGGCGGGCTCACCACGAGCCCCACTTCTGCGAAGGCGTCGGGCCCGCTAACTGGAGAGGAGGCCCTCGGGAGGCGTCTCACCTGCAGCACTGTCTGTGGGCAGGAGGCAGACACCACGGCTGGCGGAGCGGACCAAGCAGAGCAGCCCAGTAAGGAGATGAGGCGGCGTGTAAACCCAGGTTCCCGTGCGCACGGACCCCCGGTGGGTCACTGGCCGGCCCTTGGTACTGCCTGGTACTGCTGCGTTTGTGGAGACCACCTGACCGGGGTTCAAACCCCGGCACTGGCACTCCCACCCCTGGGCCAGCCCAACACACCAACAACCTGGTTCTGATCCCCAGCACTTCAGACCCCCAAATCCTACTCTGCAGCTCCAGGCTCCACCCCGACTCCTCCCGCCTGGAACCTGGAACCCCAACACCCACAGCCTAGCCAGAGAGGCCGGCGGAGCGTTCCACTGCAGGCTCGGCTGACCCCCGCCCCACCCTCGGCTGCCCAGGCGATCAGAGGCAAGGTTGGTGTCCCGGTTTATTGAAAATATTACAGCAAAGTAGATTAAACAGCTCCACGAGGTGTTTTGAAATTCATCCCCACGGTCGGCTGAGTGACCTGCAGGTTGGAGAGGCTGCCGAAGTCCTGGAACAGAACAGACAGCATGAGCGGCCGCCCCCCCTAGGGATTTCCCTGGCCACACAGCACCCCCCCCTTCTAGGACCTTCCCCCAACCTGGCCTGTCAGACCACCTCATCGGAAGCACAGCAGGCTGGCGCTCGCGTGGGCACCCCTGCCAGACTGGGGCTCACCACCAGACGCCCTCCACCACACACCGTGTGGAAGCCCCCCCCCCCCGTGGGTCATTACACCTGAGCAGTTTTCACAGCACAGGGGACCATCTAAAGAGGACTCCGTGTGCAGGAAAGGATGTAGGCCGTGCAAGCATGTCCTGGCAGTCGGGTTTTGGGGGTAGGGGTCCCCAGAGCAACACTTCCCCACACAAACACAAAGCCAAGCCTCTCCAGGACCAGCCCTGGCACAATACCACGAAGTCACCACTGCAAATGCCCTGCACAGATGGCAGCGAATCCACAAGACTCCGATAAGCCGCCAGAATAGCAGAGGTGGAGCTCTGGCTCCAGCTATGAACTTTAAAAAAGCTCAGGGGGAGATCCAGGCCCAGCTCATGCCTCAGGCCCAGTACAAAAACCATTCGCAGTCAGAACAGTGATTCTGTAAGAAAAGTCAGGGGCCGGTAGCTGTTCTGTTTTCCCAAAGCTGGTGGCAGGAACGTGTTATCCTTATGAACCTGAACCTGTTCCTTTCACCAAGCAATATAGACAAATATAAACACAGAAGAAAACGTTCTGACTGGAGATACTTGTAAGCCTGGCGTGCACCTGGAGGAGACCAGTTCTTTTTGTTTTTTTAAATTTTTTTGGGTCCGGTCGCGGGCCTGAACTCTGGGCCTGGGCGCTGTCCCTCAGCTCTTCAGCTCAAGGCTAGTACTTGAGCCACAGCACCACTTCCAGCATTTTCCGCTTAGGTGGTGCCGAGGAATCGAACCCAGGGCCTCATGCATGCAAAGCAAGCACTCTACCACTGAGCCACCTTCCCAACCCGAGACAAGTTCCTTCTGAAGTTAGCATTGGGCCTTTAATGGTCACCACCGGTTTGATTCCCAGCTTATCCAGTGCTTGCCTCCCACAGCAGAACCCTTTCAGAGGCCTGGCACTCACCAAGAGCTTCAGCATTTCCTTGGTGTCAGGATCAACTTCAATGATCTCCTGGTCCAGGGCTGAGACCTAGGAGGGGAGGAGCGAGCCGCTCTCAGTTTGGACTCCTCACCCTGCCTCCCTCCCGAATGATTAAGTCCCCAAGTGGTTCACGGCCTGAGCCACCAGACTCCACAGGCATCCGTCCGGTGCTGAGGGCACGTAAGCCCGGGCCCCGCTGCACCGGCCAAAGGGATCTTGCGCGGAGGAAGGATTTCATCTGTCTCGGCCAAGGCAGGCGAAAGGCTGACTTACCTCGGGGACGTAGTTATCCCTCCTTTCTCTCTCCTCCTCCTGCAGCTTGATGGAGATGCCCCGCACCGGGCCCCTCTGAATCCTCTTCATCAGGTGCGTGACATACCTGGGGG